CAAAATTCATCCCAAATTGCCTTAATTCATCAAGTGTCGTCTCTGGTGCTTTAGGCGCCAAGTTACTTAAGTCTACGCTGTTTTTGGTCTCTGGCACTTTAGGCACCAATTCTGGTGCTTCAGGCGCCTCCTCTCTGTATAATGGTGTTTCAGGAGTCAAGTTAGACGCTTCAGGTGCCAGCTCTTTGTAAAATGGCGCAAAATTTGCTATTTTAGCTTCAAATTTTGTTCTTTTTACTACTTTTGCTCCGAATACCTAAAATTGATATACCTGCAATAAAAACATGAAAATTCCCTTGTTTAAAGTACAATATTACAAAAAATAATTATAAAATGTATATTTAAAATAACACATTATTTTGGTGTATCACTTGGCCATATAAGTAAGATTTTCTAAGTATTACTAGTGAAAAGAGTTTTCTCTTTTTATTTGACTAGATTGAATATTTTCTTTTAATATGACTCTAATATAAAGAAATTTGAGTAGTTTCATTAAATTTGGTCTATCCTTTGTCTGGGGTCATAACTCTCATACAAGGAGTAATCACTATAATTTCTTAACTTTTATTTAGGTTGAGATATTGTGGTCTTCAAACCTAGGCTAACTAACTTCATTCTTTATTTGGCCGAGTTATATTTTGGAAAGAGCTTCTCTGAATTCATGTCTAGCATTTTAATATTAAGTTAAGTAGGTTCCAAATATGGCCCATTTTTTTTATTCTTAAAAAATTTGCTCGTGATAGGCAAGTTCACATAGTTATACAGGCAATTGAAAAAGTAAAATAAACATAAATGTAATATACAAAAGAAAAAGAGGGAGGGTTCTAAGAGGTTTTCCCATAGAGTTTTTCTTGTTGCTCAATTTCACTCCTTTGTGACTTTTCTTCCTCTGGACAAATTATTTTTTTGATATTTTTGTGAGAAATTTCTTGGGAGAGCAAGTTTTCTAGCTGATTAAAGCTCTCCTAGTAGCCTAAAGCTGGTCAGATTGACTAAAGATGACAATTAGGATGATTGTAGTTGGTTGTCATAAATGGAGTTGGTTGGGTTGATTGGATGTAGTTGGAACAAATAGAGCTGGCTGTGTTAATTGGTTCTGATCAGGTTGAATACAGCTGATGGTCAGACCGAATGGAGCTGACCAAGCTAAATTGAGTTGATCAAGCCAAATATTGGACTTGACCACGCCAAACAGAGCTGGTCAAGTCTGCTGGAGCTGGTCTGGATGAGGAGAGATGCACAAGCTGAATAGAGGTGGTCGGGCCAAATAGGGTTGTCTCACTAGAATAAATTTGGTTAGGTCAAACAGAGCTGGTCGGGCTGATTGGAGTAGGCCAAGCCAAATGGAGCGGGTTGAGCTCAATGGATTTAGTGGCCAAGCAAACTAACCACGCCAAACAGAGCTGGTCAAGTCTGCTGGAGCTGGTCTGGATGAGGAGAGATGCACAAGCTGAATAGAGGTGGTCGGGCCAAATAGGGTTGTCTCAGTAGAATAAAGTTGGTTAGGTCAAACAGAGCTGGCCGGGCTGATTGGAGTAGGCCAAGCCAAATGGAGCGCGTTGAGCTCAATGGATTTAGTGGCCAAGCAAACTAGAGCTACGCTTGAGCCAAACAAAGCTAACTAAGCTTAATGGAGCTATCTGACTAACCAAATATGGTCAGGCCAAATAAAACTCGCTTGGTCAAATAGAGCTAGTCGGGCTGAATGGAGCTGGTGGCTGAGTCATACATAATTGACCTACCTGAACAGATTTAGACAAGCTCACTAGAGCTGGTAGCTAAGCTGAATAGTGCTAGTAGCTAAGCCAAATTAATAGAGCTGGTTGGGCAAAATGGATGAGCTTAACCGTTCTCTTAAGAAAGTTCTATAATGCATTGTGTGTTTCTTGTCACTTATCTATAGTAAGTTCTTCTCCTTGTGTTGCTCATCTTCTTGTTTGTGGCATGATCCATGCTCACTGCATCTCTTAGGATGTTGACTTCAAGAATGTCTATAAATCACACCGAAGGAATGAAGAATAAATAATAAGAGTAGATACAAAAAGAGAGAGTGGATAATAAAATTGATTCCCTTCTTTATTAGATGCTTCCTCTATTTATATAGAGCTTACCATAGTCATGTTATTATATTTTTCCCCCACCTAGAGAGGATCTATATTAGGGTACTTCTAATATTTTACAAGTGAAGCCTTGTCACTCAATTATTTCTTGGTTCTTTTAGCTAGGTTCATCGGTAGAGCTTGATCGACAGAGAGCCTGATTGACTTTATAACTTTGATCATTATATCTAGATGGCTAAGCATTCCTCACAAGCTAACTCTGGTGTTAGATTGACTCTTCTACATCTAGCTGGCTTCCTATTGATTTATAATTAGCATTCTGATGTCTGGTTATCGCATGATTACTTATTTGAATTACCTGGTCATCACCTTGTTAGTCTCTTGACTTAGTTTAATCTGGTTCAACCGACTTAGCTTGTTTGGCTTGATTGGTCCAATTTATTATCCTCCCAAACTTTCAGTAGAAGACCTTCCTCCATCGAATCTTCCATCTGCGAACTGATGATCTTCATAGCTGACACTTTTTTATGTACAAATGTATAGGCCTATCTGATGCTAACTTTTTGGCAGAGTTGCTCGAAGATAAAACCAAGATATCACCCAAAAACTAATTTAAACTCATTCATAGCTTGTTTTGCCTCAATGAATTTGACACCCTATTGATTTATTAACTTATCCTATTATTCAACAACGGAAGACATTCTATAACCTATTAAATTGTAGGAGGCATTACGACTCCACATATGCCTCAAGATACACCTTAGTGCCATACATCACCATGTACCTTTATTATAATATTATTTTCATTCAAGTTCCCATTATACCTCATCTTATATAAATAGGAGTCATATATATAGAAAAAACATTACGAACAATAAGAGGATATAATATGAGCCTAGCCTCATTCTGTTACTCTCCCTCTCAATTGTTCAATTTCTCTTTGTTTATCCTAATCTTGGGTTCCTCTATCTTAATGGTTTGCATAACGGATAAAATAGGAATCAACACAACCCGATAGCATAGACAACATAAACGAACAAATATTTAACTCATAATAAAATACACAATATTCAAATAGTCATATAACAATCACTATTCCATTCATACACAATATTCAAATAGTCATATAACAATCACTATTCCATTCATTTAATATTTTAAAATAAGAAATGAATAAATAAGATGAAGTCCTATGTTGGAAAAAAAAAGTCTTAAAAAATATCTTACAATTATGGGCAATCAATTAAAATAATCATAATTTTTTGCAGCACATGCCAAAACATGTGGCAAGCATATTTCAAGCTAGCTAATTGACCTTCCTACAATTCAAACGGATCTGGCCATTGGTGCCAATGAGCGGACTAAGCGCTCCCATCTTCACCATGGCTGCAGCAAAGTCATTGAAGAACAACAGGGGATTTATACTGTACTGTCGAACCAATAAATCCTGACTGCCATTGTTGAAGAGCTCTTGGTCGGAATGCAGTAGCCCCCCGCTGCCCACCAAGTTCTGGTAGTAGTTAACTCCGAACAAATTGGGGCTCTGTAGCTCAAGCGGCGCCAGGTTGTCGTCTCCCCCTGAAGCGGGGCAGTTCAGCTTTCTAATGGTGGCGAAGATGGGGTTTATGTTGTCATCGTTGTATATGTGGGTTCGGAAGGTGGCGCAGCGAGCTTGGCCAATGGTGTGAGCTCCAGAGAGCGCAGTCATGTCCCGCGGGCTCATATTTTTCGACTGGAAGATAGATATGAGTTTTGAGAGGCTTGAATCAGGGCTGGGAAGATTGCTGTTTGCCTCGTTTTGGCTCGCCGTGGTCGAGTCCCGTCGACCGAGCTCCACCGGCCATGATGGCCCGCCCAACTGCAACACAATTATAAAATTATGTAAGAATTCGAATTAATATTATAACTATATTATAATGTGATTTAGCTGACAAATTCAGAGTAAATACGAACCCGAACAACACCTTCACGAGCGGCAAGTGCGAGAACATCAGCACATGACACTGTTGCAGGGCATGAAGCCTCAACCAGAGACTTTATTTCATCGATCACTTCAAAGCCACGAAGAGAGTTTTGATTTGGGAATGCGTTCTTTTCCCCTGTAAAAGTTGGGGTGTCGTCCAGAAGGACTGATGCATCACAACCCTAATATGGAAAAGCAAAGATGAAGTATTAAAAAAATTGATCTTTTTACATTGTGAAAATAAAAAAAAAAATGTTTTTTTTTTACGGTATAGAAAGATTTGGATGATATAAATGATGAGAATTGTGTTTTAGTTTTATATATGTAAATGCATGAGAATTGGATGGTATGTGTGAAGAAAATTCAATGACTTGAAAAGTGTGCAGATTCAGACTTGTGTGTTGATGGAAGAGAAAGAGTAGTAAGAAAAAAATGGTGTAGGTGAAAGACTGAACTGGTTCTTACATTGACGAAGCAGTCATGGAAGAAGAGACGGAGAATGGAAGCACCCATTCGAGGTTCAATGGCCACTGCTCTGGCCATGGCTAACCTCACAATCGTCTGCAAGTTAGGGCAGCTGCGAGCGTAGAACCCTGTCGTTAAGAGCTGGGCCTGCACTTCGCAACTGAGGAAGCTCAGTAGAAAAAGAGCAGGTATGATACTGAAGACGAAGTTGAAGGCCATTTGAATTGTATTAGCTGAAAACCAAAGGATGATGACTGGTTCCCAGTGAAGAGTGCTCTGGATATATAGATGTGAAAATAATTATAAAATTATATTATATTCCATCGGAGTGCTACTGAATATACACGTAATTCTATATGCATATTTCACAAAATAATCTTTCAATAATTCAGTTATTCGGGGTTATTGAGAGGTTATTGAAGCATAACATCCCAATAACCTCGCAAAAACCTATCAATACATTTCGCGATTCCACGCTAATATTTTTTACTGTTATTCGGAAGTTCCCCAACAATATATTCATAACCCTCAAATATCTTATGAGTAACCTGTATATGCACGAAATTGTGCGTGCGTACTACATACATAAATATTTTTTCATCATAAAACCTTAGACAACTTGCATTTCTGTTTTCATTGAAAAGTAATTTAGTTTTAAGAAATTATTTTATATGTTATCTTTTTTACTTTAATATAAAATTTATATAATATTCAGTTGATAAAATTGCTTCAAAAAGTCTCACGACCATGTGCATTTCACATGAAATACGGGAGATGGATAAACAAATGAAGATGGGAAGTGCGATAGTAGTTAGTGATATAATTTTCTATTGGAAGATCGAGATAAATTAATGGCATTTAAGCCTGGTCATGAGAAAGGAAAAGCAAGATAGTGATGCGAAGCTAAATCAAAAAAACACAGAGCCGAATCGTCTTTGGATGGCTACGGACTTTAATGCATTCCGTGTTTATGTCTTTTTTTTTTTTTTTTGGTTTTTTGTTTGAGCTTCCTTTATGCTCAACGTCTTTTGTTCTGGTGGTGATGGTGGAGATGCCGTCATGACTTCCTTTATGCTCAACGTCTTTTGTTCTGGTGGTGGTGGAGATGCCGTCATGGAACAATGTTCTGTTGAAGAAGATGAGATGAATTCGACTAATTAAGAAGACTCTAGTGAGGAAGATGAAGTTGGCGCCTACGTAGAAGGGATATCCGAAGGCGTTTGTCAAACTTTGGGGTTGGTGAACTCGTTAGTGAATTAATTCCAATCAGACCCAAGTTTCTACTCAAGATGGTGAACTTGTTGGTGAATTATCACATCCAAAATTCTCAATCATAAGTAGGTAGTTGGAAAGCATCACATACGCTTGAGGTCGGTATGTTGATCCGTTGTGCAGTGATGAAAATAGCAATTACGCAAGTATAAGTGTCAATCAAATAGTATTCAGATTTTTGAGTCAAGATTATCGTTCCCATCAATTACTTCCTAATTCTAAAAGTAGATTAAACATCAATATATTATAATTAGTCCTTTGTTTAATTCAAAAGATTTACTAATATAAGATTCTCATATTATATTTATGTTCCTTATTCCTGCAAAGTCTTCTAAGATTCCTTATTCTCCTAAGTGACTACAAGTATTTCTTGGCACTATTCTATTCCACCAAGTATTTGTGCTTTAATCTGGTTGTGCTTCCAATCTTCTTTCAATAGCAGCATATTACAATAAATTTTAACACTTCAAATGAGTTATTTGAAAGGTAAATAAAGCTTACACTGCAAAAAATTAGCTTATTAACGACGGTCAAATAACGTCGATAATAATAATTAAATCGTATGTAGTATATTTACCAACTCGACATAAAAAAAATGCTTGTTGGTAATAAAATAACAGATGGATTTATCATCGATTTACATGTACCGACGTTTATCCGATGTATTGTACTCATCGCTATTGATACAAAATTATTTTATATTTAGGTGTCGGAAAAGTGTTGCCTCTTGTTAGAAAAAAAGTCGCGTCGAAAATTTCACTAAAACAATCCCTACAACCTTTTTATTTGAACTCGCAATAGCATAAAAGAATGATTTGCATACACACCACTCAATTCTTATGTATTCACATATCTGTCATTTAAACTTTTAATTTTCACATATATAAATTGAAAAAAAATTAAAGTGTAGGTGTTAGGTATAACGCATGAGAAATCAATGTTATGCATGTAAATGACCCTAAGATTAAATGTAGCTGAAAGATACTATTTTTAATATATTTATATGTTTAAAAGTTATTATTTAATCAAACAACTTATCACCATTCAAAATAGCTCTTCGAGGTGGTGGACAGCTCAGGACTTAAATATTGTTTTTCGGCCCAACACCTAGCCGATGTGAGATTTTTTATCCGTGACATTTTTCGCCCAATCACATGACGCCCTCGTCGCGGATCGGCTCCTCTGAGGATCCCACTGGACCTTGGAGAGTCCACACACCTGACATGCAGTAATTTGTTCTGATACCGCTTATCACCTCCCAAAAGAGCTATTCGGGGTGGTGGGCAGCCCATAACATAAAATCCTACTTTTCAGCCCCACACCTAACTGATACGAGACTCTCTGTTCACAACCAAAAACTATATTTCACTAAAAAATTTCTAAATAGATCTAAAAGAAATCTCAGAAAATTTAAGCTAGGAGGAAAACCTAAGGATAAATATGCAATATTAGAGAAACTTAGATAATATACTCAATGATGACGCCTCGATAATAGAGTAGTCGAGCCAACATCGAGGACAAAGAGACAGTGCCGAAGACAAATAGAAGTAAAAAACGAACACAAACCAAGTAAGAATATCGAGCGACAACCTCTTAGACCTAGCGATTTTGAGAGAAGGAAAGAATGGAGGTGGCCAAAATTGTTTCTAAGGCTTTTGAGAGGGAGTGCTATTTACGTATGTCATACGCACGTAGTTCTGCGTGCGCATGACCCTGAATAACCTTCCAATAACTCAGTTATTGGGGGTTATTAAGAGATTATTGGGGGTATTAACCCAATAACATTTCAATAATCTCCCAATAACCTACCAATACATTTTGCGGTTCGGCGCTCATCTTTTTTCCTGTCATTCAAAGATTTTGTGAGGTTATTGAGTGTATTAACCCCAATAACATCGACATAGCCCTCCAATACCGTCCAAATAACATTTATACGCTTGTAATTCCACTTGCATATGACGTACATAAATATTTTTCTTTGAGAGGAGAGGGAAAGGGGAACCTGAACTAGTTTCACGATTTAGGGTTAGGAGTTGATATAAAGTATTTATATTAAAAGTTTAATAGTATAATTTATGTTATATAAATATATAATATCTATATTAGTATATTACTAATATAGTATTTAAATATATTATTATTATTAATTTATTATATATTATAATTTATAAAAATTAATTTTTTAAAATATCATAAATTTTTTTTATATAATTATTTTATATTTCGAACAATAATGATTCGAATACGAACGAACGCATCACTGTTCGTATTTGGTTCGTTTAACTAAATGAACAGAAAAAATTTGTAAGCGTTCGTCTCGTTTACTTATTAAACGAATCGAACACGAACTCGTTGATGAATCGAACATAAACTATTCGCGAACAATGAGCTTTTTTGATAGCCCTTGTCGTGAGACAGGAAAATTTATCTCCCAGGAGAAATAAAAAGGGAATATTTACATATACACC